ATAATACCTAGTTCTACTACAGGACCTCACAAAGCTATTCACCTCTGCTACTACTGGTTTCACTCCTTTTCCCTCACTAATAAACAGCACGTGCACCATCTTGTCACAGCTCTGTTTAGCCAGAGTTCAGGCCACTTACAGGGAAGAGGTGCTGACAATAGGCCACAGCTATCCACTTGATGTACAACTTGTCCACAAAGCTGCACATGAAGGGGTTACATAAAGCTAATTAAGCTTCATGACACCACTGTGAGGTCAATGTTATCTTCATTTTACAGATGGCTAAATCAGGACACAGAGAATTGACTGGCCCAAGGTCACACAATAAGTCCCTGGTAACAACTGGGAGTAAAGACTGTGAATCTCTACTTTCTTTTCTAGAAGGGCTAGCCTTCACTCACTGGTGCCTTCTCCTCCTCCAGTAAGCCTTTCATCTTCTTTATCTGCCCTGTGGCCCAAGGCAGTTTTGGGCAGGAGTGGAAGCTGTGACAGTTTTCAGATGCCCACCCCGAATATCGACTGCTGATCCTCCTCAGGCCTCAGGTTTTTGCTTACTTCAGGAGTGAGGCCCTAGGAATGAAGTATTTGTTTTACCTGAGAGTCACTCTGTTTCCCCAGTTGGTTTAACAACTAGAGTGGTGCTCAGGCAGCCCAACCTCAGATCACAGGCGTGACTGCTGAGCTGGAGCTCGTGGCAAAGCAGGCGTCTTGCTTTCAAATGGTCAGAAGGGTATTTCATCATCTGCTGGTTAATGGGATCCGTCTGTGAAGATGGTAGAGAAACAGGGCTGGTGGCAGCTCTCACAGAGTGTAAAACAGTGTCTGTTCCTCTGTGCAGTGCAGGTGCTGCCCTTCCACAAGCAGGGGAGGCTCGGGCAGCTGAGAGCCCAGGGCACAGACCTAGGGCAGCAGGAGGCAGATGTGGGGAAGGCTGTGCAAACACTCCTCTGCCAGGACTCATGTTTACAGCACCACCGACCTCTTGTTTCAGAGACAGTGACAGACACACTACACCAACAGCACACATTAACACCTGTACAGGGCAGAAATATTAACACAAGGTAAACAGCCCAGAAGAAGGTAGGGTCATTATTTGAGGAAACCAAGCACAAAACTGCCAGCTCCTAATATTGATGCTAGTGCCCCAAACAGCTCTGGCTGAAAGTCCATGGACCTTCCAGCCAAATCAGCAAGCCAACAGGCCCTTGCTTTGGCTTGTGGCTCTGGCAAGGACACGGCAGGGTGACAGAGCGCAGTCTAAGGAGACCCATGTAAGTGACTGGAAGGGCAGTTCAGAACAGACTCTCTCTAAAGAGACTTCCCAATTCTTCCTCCCAGAGCAACAGGTGGGAGTTCCTGCTGACTCCTATGCTGCTGAGTTAGCTTTAAATGGGTCAGGCTCAGAAATAGGGAGGTAAACCAAGGGCAACTTCAGTGCCGATTTGCTTCTGGTAGCAAAATTCCAGGGGACGTTTGTTGAAAGATGCTGTAGTAAGTCGACAGCAGCCACCTGATATGGGCAGTTGTTTTCTCTGGCTTGTTTTTATAACTGATCGTGTGGCAGGGCAGCTACCCTGCCTCTCCTTGCCTGGGGCAAAGCTTGAGAGAGCAGTGTGGTGAATACATCCATGGTGAGAGAGATCTAAACAGATGCTGCACTGCCTCAGGGCTAGCAGCTGTTAAGAGCCATGGCATACTCCGCTGACCATGATAATAGACTAAAACGTGCAGCAGACCACATTTGTACTGCTTCTGCAGTTTGGGGGTACGTATTGAATTAAGAGAAATCACGTGATAAAACAAGGGCAATTTGAGATTTTCCCCTTGATTTAGCAGTAATCCTGCCATACTATTAGCTGCTCAGCGAACTAGTCCCTATTCACCCCAAGCTGTGGGACTGAGGCAAATTGCAGGAACAGGTGCTGCTGTGCCCATCAGACAGGCTCCTTCTCCCTGCTGCCACCCTCACCCCCTGGTCTGGGGGAGAAAACAATATGTTGCAGCTTCCAACTGGCCACAGCAGGATTTTTATTTCAGATAATCTTGTTCATTTACCCTTTTTCCTTGTAATAACGAAGGGCATGTGGCAGCGAGCAAAAACAGAGGGGCTGGTGTTTGCTTTGCATCTTATCAGCAGCATCAGGCAGTGCATAGATTAACCAGAAAAGAGCGAGGTACAGGCCTCACCTGCACAACAGGACTTTGAACTGTAACAGAGAACAGGTGTGTCCACATAGACAAGATTTTTCTCTCTCAGCTCATCCCCTGGCAGCAGTATTTCTGATTCCTTTTCTTTATACACAAGCCATCACCCCCTTTCCTTCCAGCACAGGGGATGTTGCCCACCTTTCAAGTATTTAATTACATGTACTAAGGATGATCTGCATACTTAGTCTTCTGCAAAACAGAAGGAAGATGTGTCCCCTCTTGCCAAGAGACCAGCGCAGAATGGACCGGGCTTGCAGGGCTCCCCTGATGCATCTCACAGGCACGGGCTTTAAAGTAGGGATTTAAACAGGAATGGGGGTTTACTTAGTGCAAAGATGGGAGAATAAGGTTCTTTGGGTAAATGTGATACTTTTATTAGACCATCTCAAATAGCTGGAAAAAATTATTTTTTGAAAGCTTTTGGGCACAAAGGCTTCTTCAGGCTGAGGAAGCAGCTGCAGTTTGTCTGTGGCTTTCTATTCAAGGAACGTGTAGGCAGCTACACAGGGAAAAACTCAGAGCCTAAACTTGGGGCAGGAGGAAAGGGAAGCTCCCAAAGGTACTTCTTCCAAGTCTCATCCCACACTCTGAAGCGTGGCTGGTTCTCTGATTGAACAGCAAGATGAGTCTTTTACCTGCTGTGGAAGCCAGGGAAGTAAAAGGAATCAAGTGCCATTGGCATCCCTACAGCAAAGAAGTCCACCTGCAGATGGAGCTTATCACAAGCTCCCACAGGGAAGCAGATTCCCTCATATCACAACCTCAGGTACTCTCTTCTTGTGCTCTGGGGAGCTAGACAGCTTGCTGTGGGGTAGGACATGAAACGTGCAAAGGGAGGAGCCAACCCAAGCTCAGCCCAAGGGTTTTCAGCAAGGAGACAGAGACACCCAGGCAAAAGGTGCACTAGCAGGCTCCTGCGCCGAGCAGCAGGGTCGCGATTCCCCAAGCGCAGCGTGAACGTTCCAGGACCGGGCCCGCCAAGCTCTCCCGAGCCCAGGTCCGAGCTTTCCACCGGTGCTGCGTTTCATGGGGCACTTGTGCAGCCGCCTGCTCACCCTTACCTGGGTCAGCAGTGCTAGGCCAGCATAGAGACACGTGTCAGGAGCTGTGGGCCAGGAAGGGGAACTGCTCCATCCCTACCCTACAAATGCTCCAACAGTGCCACCTCGTGGGTCTTTCCACCTAGTGGCAGCAGCTCTATGCGTGTCCCCAGCACCAGGCTCCTGAACTCACCCATCCACGGCCATAGGCAGGCAGCCTGAGTGAGCTGGCTTTGTAGTATTATATGGTATAGGCTAAGCCAAGTATCTCTTTGTAGGCAAACGGGAACATGGAGCAGTGTGTAAAGGAGCATTACCAGGAGCACTGTAGAGTCTAGTGCCATCATCTCTGTCTACAAAGAGCCAATGGCTTGAGTCTTTTCTCACAGTCGCTAAACAGAATCCTAACGAACTGCAGGCACTGTGTCCATGATGAAAAGCCCTTTGCCCATCTTCACCCTGTGCTAATGTCCTCTCCCCTAACACCCCGCCTGAAAGCTCTTTCCTGCAAGGACCAGATGTGATGTGGCTGTCAGGAGTGATCTCTTCTCCAACCAGTGCTGTTTCAGTTTGCATCACGGTGTATTTGCCTTGGTCATTATTTAACTGAAGGGATAATGATACTTCATAGTTTCATAGTTTCTAGGGTCGGAAGGGAC